TAATTTTAAGAAACTACTAGCTCTATTTTTCTAATAAAGCCTCATTAAAATAAATAGAGACCTATTATGGCCCGGGCATCTTTAGGCTGAAAGAACTGCTTCTACTTTAGCGGGAACAGGGCTCCAAGGACCAGCCCCCGCCCCTCCCACCTTAAGGCCTCCAGGCCTGGTGAGAGGGGTGCTTAGAATGCTAAGGAGAAGTGGGACCGGACATCTGTCACCAAAGCCAAGCGAGATATTGACAAACGCGGGTCCTTTGTGTCTTAGGAATATATATACATATCCCCATCCACAAATGATTTCCTAATGGAAGGGTCTGGTCTCTGCCAAGCAGACCTCACCCCAGCCCCAGGACACTGCCATCACATGTCAAGGAGAGGCCTCCTGGGGAGAGGGCCTGCGTCCTGCAGCCGGCCAGGTCTCCAGGTTCGGGCTGTTTTCTAGTGAAACTCTGATAGTCAAGAAGAGGACAAAACAGCTCTTCATTTAGGAGCTGATGTCCAGCGAGGCCTTGTCTCTGCGTGGCGCTGCCCGACACCAAGGTTGGCAAGTTTTTCTGTGAAGATGCCGTCACCTGAGAGCCCAGGCTGGCTAACTAGGAAAAGGTGGGGAGACCCGGACAGAACTTTCCAGGTGTCCCGCCAGGAAAGGGGACACACACAACTCCTAAGAAGGGACCCCAGCCTGAATGTGGAGGGTGAAGGGGGGTCCGGGTGTGAAAAAGAAGTGGCCTGCTTCTCTGAGCACTGCTCCATGGCCCAGCTAGAAGTGGGGGGCTGGGGACAGAGGGTTAGTGCGTGGGACTCTGCAAAGATTTCCCCAGAGGGTGGCATCTAAGTTCTTACCATCTTGCGGAGACAGAATCTACCTGGCAGCACCTGGTGGTGGGCATCCCCTCGGCTCTTGATATAACCAAAGGAGGGGTACCCAGCTCTGAGTGGGGCCCTGCGCCCTCCAAGCCCTGAGGGACCCGAGGGGCGGGGGCTGAGGCCTGCCCAGCGGATGGGGCGGGTCACCCGGAAAGGAGAGGGAGCGCGTGCGCATATACCTTCTTTGCTGTTGGGGTTCTGGGGTTTGGCCTTCTCCCAGGGCGCCAGCGTCTTATCCTCGTCCGCGCCGTCCACCAGGGTCTTTTCAGCCGGCATGTACCAGGTGGCGCTGTGCTCTGCCATCAGTGAGTCCAGGTCGATGGTGCTCATGGCGCTCTTGACGGCCTCGGAGCAGCAGCTGCCCAGCTCGCTGTCTCCATTCTGCCCACCTGAGGCCCCGACGGCACACTCGCCCTTCTTGCCACCCTTAAGCCCCAGGGGCTGGTCCTCGGAGATGCTGAACTGCTGCCTCTGTAGCTGGATCTGCGCCTGGAGGATCTCCAGGGGGTGGATCTCGTCGGGTGGGGGCGCACCGCTGCTGCTCGTGGGGGTCCGGACCTGCTCCAGGCCCGGCGTGCCCGGATGGCCAGTGCCCCCGCCCCCGCCATAGCTGTCGGGGGTCGAGGAAGAGGTAGACATGATACCCAGGCCGAGTGGGGGCGGGGGCGCCTTGGGTCCGTGTTCCCCGGCGCCCACCCCTCGAGTAGGGAGTTTGGGCGAGCCGGTCACCAGGGGACTCCTGCTGGCTTTGGCCAGGGCCGGGGGGTTGTCGGAACTGGACGACACCTCGTCCTCGTTGGCATAGCTCGTGCTCACCTCGTCCGAGGCGAACTCACCCACGTGCGGTGAACTACCATCCGATTTGGCCCCACCGTCCAGGGACGCCATGAGGTCCTGCTGGTCCCCCAGAAGCAACTCCGCCCCCTTCCCCCACGACGGCGACGTAAGTGCCTTCTCGTGGGGCGTGGGCGCCCCGCGCGTGTCGCTCACAGAGCTTCCCCCGACGGCCGCGCCTGGAGCCTGCTGCTGTCCTGGGCTCACCCCAGGCGCGCCCCCGCTGTCCGGAGCCGCTGAGTACTTGTCGAAGAAGGTCCCAGGACTCACGTGACCACTGTCCCTTTTTCTGCGACCCCGTCCCCGGCCACCTCCCCCGGGGACCGGCTTGCCGTCGTTCCCCGACGTTGATTCTAGGGTGTAGTTGGGAGAGAGGCTGGTGCCGTCCCCCTGGCTGGGAGGGTTTGGCGGCCCCGAGGCTTTGGAGCCGCTGCTACTGGTCCCTGATGGGCCTCCGGGTCCTGGGGCCCCAGGAGCAGTCCCCCCCGGGAAGTAATCCGAGCCCGGGTTGCCGGCCACGGCAGTGCCGTCGGCCTCGTTCTGGCTCAGTTTCCTCTTGCCCTCGGGTGGGTTCTTCTTGTTGAAGGTCACGTTGAGGTTGGGGGCCCCGAGGCTGGCGATCATGTTCTGGCAAGCCGTGGAGAGCGCAGCCAGGCAGCTTTGGCCAAACAGGTTGTCCTTGGAGCTGGGTTTATTGAAGGAGCCCAACGAGAGCGCGCCCAGCTTGCTGGCCGAGGCGCGCTGGCTGGGC